TTGATTGATAAGGTGATGCAATTTGAATGATTGATATGAAATCACGTTTTTTATTTATTAATTATTGTTACAAATTATAATAAAATCAAATCAAAATAAAATTTGGCTCTTTTTTATGAGATAAAAATTTCAGAGAAGGGTTAGGGTTAGGTTAGAGCATAAATTATAGCATTAAAATCTGCAATATATTGATTTATAATTATTTAAACATTTCACTCTGTTTTGTTTTAATTTGATTTTATTTTAATCTGTCACAATTATTAATTACACTAGCAAATCCAATAGTAATTTTTCATGAATGTGATTATAACAGAATTTTATAACGAATATACTTATAACAAGATATTTTTATTATAGTTAGTTCTTGAAAAAAGAGTAATTATAATTAAAAATAAATTTTTAAACTAATGATACTTATTTGTTACCTATTTTAATTATAAGATTTTAATAAATTAAACTATTTTAAACATAATCTAAACCAAATAATATTTAGTATTACATGATTTTAAAATCTGTCTTTAATTATAGTAAAATTTTTATATAATTTAATTATAAAAAAATAATTATAAAAAAATTTAATTATATAATTAATTTTTTTATAGTTATATTATTGGATTTAATAATAAATACAGTGACAATCAGAAATAATGCAATGATATCAAAATTTATAGGAAAATGTGAATTTTTCTCTTTATATAAAAGTTTTTGATTTTGCTAATAAATATTTTTTATTTTATATTAAAATAAAGATAATATCACATATTTTAATATATATTTTTTTAGATTTAATCTGATAAAGCTATTCTAATAACATATAAAATCAATTATTTTTTTATATATTTTAATTATAAAAAAATAATTAATTTTATATAAAATTAGAAAAGCTTTATCAAATTAAATCTAAAAATTTATGTTAAAATATGTAATATTATCTTTATTTACTATAAAATAAAAAATATTTATTAGTAAAATTGAAAACTTTTATATAAAGAGAAAAATTTATATTTTACTATATTTAATTAATAAATTTTGACATTATTGCATTATTTCTGATTTTTATTGTATGTTTATCTCTTAAATTATCAGATTTAACAGACAAATTTGCCTGCTAAAATTTTATAAATTTATATTTAATATATTTTTATCAAAAATTAAAATGTAAAAAAAAGTTTATTTAATTTTAGCTTTAATTATATATTATATAATAATTATTTTTACTTTTTAATATTATAAAAAATTATAGTTATTTATAAGTTAAAAATAAGCAATTTTAAAAAAATTTTATTATTAATCTTAAATTTTATAATAAAATTACAGAATTAATTAAAAAATAAATCAAATATTTTGAGCAATTATAAATTAAAATTACAAATTTTATATTATATTAATTAAAAATATGCTATATTTTTATTTTAGCTTAGAAAAAGAAGAGTTAAGCTTAGAAAAATTAGGTACAAATATACAAAAATAAGCTAAAAAAATTTTAGCAGACAAATTTGTCTACTAAATAATTTAAGAAATAATAAAATTAATATATTTTTATTATAATTAATTCTTGATGAAAAAGTAATTATAATTGATTTTTATATAATATAATTATAAAAAAAGTAATTAAAAAAAGTTTGAATATATATTTATTTTTGTAATTCAATTTTAAGTTATAAAAAAAGTAATTAAAAAAATTTGAATATATATTTATTTTTGTAATTCAATTTTTAAGTTATAAATCTTTTTTGATTAATTGTTTAAAAAAGTGCTATTAACAATATTATTTTAAAAAAATAATTAAATATTATTTTCTGATTATATTAATTATACAAACAAATTTTTATTTAATGAAAAAAAAGTAATAGTTATTTATTTATTATTATTATTATTATTATTATTTAGTATATATTAAATAAATCAGAGTATAATTTACTAATTAATATAATAATATTAAATCAAAAAGTACAAGATAATATTATAATTAAAATATTTTATAATAAAATAATATTATTTGATAATTATTTTATTTTATTTTATTAAATAATTTTAATTAATAATAATTTAATTAATTAATATTTAATATTTATATTTTTGTTAAAATATAAAATTATATGACTTATATATTAATTTAAATATATAATTTTTATATGTAATTTATATAATAACTCTCAAAATTATAGAATTATATATGTGATTTTATTAATCAAATATAGTAAAAATTAAAATTTTTGTATTATATAAAAGTTTTTAATTTTATTAATAAATATTTTTTATTTTTATATTAAAGTAAAAATTAGAAATTATAGTTTAATATATATTTTTTTTGGATTTTTTTTGATAAAGTGTCTAATTGCAAAAATTTTTATAATTAATTATACAATTAGAACAACTTTGTTAGAAAAAAATCTAAAAAATCCAAAAAAATTATGTTAAACTATAACTTATGATATTTATTTTGATATAAAAATAAAAAAACTTTTATATAAGACAAAAATTTTAATTTTTACTAAATTTTATTAATAAACTCACATATACTTTTATAATTTTGAGAGTTACTATATAAATTATTTAATTTTCAAGAATATTTTCTAATAAAATATTATTTGAAAAATTTTAGTAGACAAATTTGTTTGTTATACAAATTAAAAAATAATTATCATTTTTGAAAAGCAAAATTAAAAATTAAATAATTATAAAGAAAATATAATTATAAAGAATTTTTTTTGCTATAGTGTAATGTGATTTTTGTATGATATATTTATAAAGAAAATGATTATAAAAAGATTTGATTATATATTCAGCAATATTTATTTAATATATTAAAAAATTATAATTATTATTTCTTTATAATTATATTTATAATGAAATTTATTATTTAATTTTGTAATATAATTATAGAAAAAAATTAATTATATTATAATTGTTTTGTATATTTGCATATTTAAATATAAATAAATATAAATCAAAATATTGAAAATAAAAATTATTTTATAAATTTAAATAATTTTTTATAATAATATTAAATTTATCGAAATTTTTGCATATTTTTAATTTATTAATATTGTTAAATACTTTATATAAGCTTTTGTTTATTTAGTTAAGTTGAAATTTTTAATATTAACTTGATTCCAATTACAAGTTATTTATTTAATAAATTATTATTGTATTTGGTTTAATTAAGTAGTCTATTTGTGGTTTATAATTGATAAATTTATGTTTCAATATCTTATTTTTCATATAATTTATTGAAATGATTAAATTAATATACTTTTATCTTTGCTATTACAAAATTTAACAATATAATTATTTTTAAAATAAAAATTATATAAATTACTAAATAATTATTTTTATTATATATTAGAATCTCAAAAATTAATATTATTTATATGAGTTTGATTATTTTTTAGATATTTTTGGTGTTGATATTTAATTAGCTATCTTGATGTATTTATTTGTAAGATACAAGTTATGGTTTCATTTTGATTTATAAGTGATAAGATACAAACATAATAAACAAATCGTTTCATTAGTATATAACTAACTATACCTCGATCAGAAAACAAAAAAAAACACAGGAACACATCAAAATAGGCATCTTATAAATATTGGGAATTTTATTTGAGATTTTGATTCCTTTGTGCAGAGATATACGGTCCTTGAGATAAATATAAGTAAATGCCTGTCACGCTGGCGAATCAACATCATTATGTAAAATCTTATGATTATTTATTTGAAAATAAACGCTAATAGTATTATAGTGTTTCCATCGTCGTCGTCGTTATACTTATGTTATTCTTATTTCAAAACGAGACTTTATATTTTATCCTTAGGGTGATTTCAAAGCATCTTTTCGGGTATTATTTTTTATCTGGGAATTTGTAGATCGACAAAAGAAATAATTATGGAGCTAGGTATTCGTTTGATGGTAGATAATGATGACGACGGGTATACCTGAATTGAAGATGATGAAACCATCCATCCCTCTTAGAAATCTCATAAATATCTGTCAAACTTTTTTGGTTCGCCAGCGTGAAATGCCGATTTACCATCTTTTATGGAGGAAATTCCGAGCTGCCAGTTTCTAGATAATGCCGCGTATAGATTAGGTAGGAAAAGGAAGACATAAACACCTATGATAGATTATAACCAAACAATTAAGAAAAAATAAGTCTAACATATTGAAACTTTGAATCAAGACAAGATAAATTAACAATATTATTTCCTTATGTGTGTGTACGCATGTTTTTTTTCGTAGAAAATCCTGCGTATACATAAAGGGGTGTGTAAAATCATAATTAATTCTATATCTCGGAACTTAATCTTGGATATAATAAAGCATAAAACTTGAAAAAAAATTAAAATACTAACAATTCATAATCTTAACTAATAAAACCCAAAATGGAGAAGTCTTAGAAATCGTCAGTCAATCAATGTCTTTTCGTGGTCGCTAGCCGTATTTGAAGATTTGTTCCTCTTCAAATGTGCTCTAATAATATAAAAAACGTATACTAATATTTAAAAATTGTAAAGAAATAGGAATAACAAAAATAAACAAATCAACTAATTCACCTACTAAAACAGCTGGTTCGATATAAATAATACATGTAGGTGATAGATGATGGAGAAAATAATAATTCTCACATACCAGCATTATTCTTATTTGTTTGGCCGGAATTATTGAAAATAATTATGGAATAAGAAAATATTAATTACACGAATTTTTTGATTCTCGCAAGAGCGCTACTAATAATAATAATGGTAACTACTATTATAATATGGTAGTCGTAGAAAAAAATTAAAGAACTAATTACTAATTGATGATAAACTTTTTATTCGCAAAATAAAATAGTAATTATAGATGATAAACTTTTTTGAAGAAAAGGAGAATGTTCAAATTAAAGACATTTTTTCTTTAGTCGAAACTATATACACAAATAATGATAATTGTAGTTGTAATTTGAGAGTGATGATTTTTTTTTGTTTTGATAACATTTTGCATGTTTTGTGTGTGCTTAATATCGGAGTTGTCTGCCATCATTATCATATGGAGCATAGAAGAATAGATGGCGTAAGGCTTCTCGGGCAGTAAGTCTTTGGGCTGGATCGTAATGAAGCAATCCAAGCACCAAGTCAAAGAACTGCCTGTTGAAAGCACAGGTATGAGGCTGAATTAATTCCTAATATATAGATTTATGGTTAATTCTTTTATTTGAAAGATATATCACAGAATATAAAATTAGTATTTAGTATGCTTACCCTCAAGCTCAACGTCTCTCTAACATATTGTTTACTTTGACGACTTGTCTCATGATTGGGATAATTTAGTTTCCCATTTCTAAAGAATTTCGATTGAGGCTGTCGGCTGTTACATCAATCAAAAAATTAACAAATCAATACAAAACATTCAAATAAACGAATAATAATAATAATAATACCTAGCACGAATTGCCAATCGTTCAGGTATTTTACCAAGCACTCTTTCCATTATCGCTAAATGTTCCAGGTTGTCATGAGTCTGAAATACTGTTTGGCCAGTAAATAATTCAATGAGGATACAGCCAACGGACCAGAGATCGCAAGGATACGACCAACCAATCCCTAAAAAAATAAAAAATTAATTCTCAATAATATACGACTTAATCGAGAAGAGAAATCTTATCATTACCTAATATAACCTCGGGAGCGCGATAATGTCTCGTCTGTATGACTGAAGAATGATACTCTTCTTCGAATGTAGCACTTCCGAAATCAATTACTCTTATATCTGAGTTATAAAGTTCCCTTACGCCTTTATCTTGTCCCTTTTCATATTATAAATTTATAGGTAAGGCTCAATTTTAATAGTTAACATGAACTTTCAATAGAAGAAAAACCGCCTACTTTTGATGGAACACTCCTGTAGTGGTCAGTGTCCAGCAGAATATTCTCAGGCTTGAGATCAGTATGAATTAAATGCATGCTATGCAAGACTAAAAACGCTTTGGCTTAATAAAAATTTATAAGGTGATATTAAAAAAAGAAAAGCATACATTCTACTGAGGTCAATAGCTGTCTTGCTATATTTTGAATCTGATTCATAGGGAATGGATTGAATTCATTGCTTTTCAAGAAATCATATAGTGAAGACCCAAGTAAATCGAAGACGATGCAAATATGATTACGGAAATCAAAGTAATCGCGTAAATGGATGCAATGACTATAGAAAATAGTTGAAAAAATCAAATTAAAATATAATTTAAAAAAAAAACAATAAAGTATATATCACTTACTGCACGTTAAATGGATCATTTTGCTTTATACAATTGAGAACTCTTATTTCTATTTTGGCAGCATCGCGATATTTTTCTACTGCACGGATCATTTTTATTGCAACATGCGTGTTGTAGGCACGATCCCAGCATTGAATAACTTTTCCAAAAGTACCTTGCCCAAGTATTCGTATAATTTTGTCTATTGATTTATTCATTAAAGTTTAGAGAAAATAATTTTCTAGTAGGAAATTATAAATTCTAAAATATCCCTACATCGAGTAGTAAGATCGTCCCCAGGGTGTACAATATAATGCCCGTCTTTGTCGTCGTAAACAGGAGCCTGTGGTATACCAGATGAGGTGCCGGAGGAATATGATTGTAATGAATTATAATCATAATTGTGACCCTATATTAATTAATCGAAAGATTAAATCGAGTTCCACACTTGAACTGTGCCCATTATTCGAATATATATCTTCTTTTGAAGTAATTAATACATTAATTTTCAATTGGCGATATACTTTCGGAAAAGCATTAGGAATCGAATTTCCAAATTAAATTAAACAGTAGAACTTTGTCATCCGGGCAAACAAGTCAGCAACCGGTATTTGACTCTTCTCCAATCTCAATTCTGTATAAAGAATTAGAAGATTAGAAAAGAGACAAAACTTACATCATTATTTAGATAAATATTTGTCGTAGATGCATGTGAGCTTGTTGAAATGTAAGATCGATAAGTCGGGCAAGGAAAGAATGATGCATCGCTATAAGTGGGATTTTTTACCGCAAATGATGACGCGAAGTAGGTTGTCGCATCGTTATAAGTGGGATTATTCGTAGCGAAAGTTGAAGGGAAAATAGTTACATCGGTAAAAGGTGGATTTTTTTGATATGTTGATGTGTACGCATGCTTGATTAATGATGGTGGTGGTGAAATATCAACCTTTCGTCGTCGCTTGTTCACATTATTCGGTAAAAGTTGTGAAGGAATTTGTGTAGGTTGTTGTTTACTAGGATTAAAAGAATTATTATTGTACACATGGTTTTCACGTTGTACTCGTTGTGCCGCGGACACTTGTCGCGTCATTATTAACTGGACACTAGGACTCTTTCTCACAAAAGCATTCGACGACTGATTATTGTGAGAACTTTTAGTAGTAGACCCATAACTTGACTGACTAGTAGAAATATACATTGAATGAGAAAGTGGAGGAAGAGGCGAAGGTCGTCTCCCCCGTTTCATTCCTTTCGCTTCTTTGAACTCCTGATGTTGTTGACGTGAGATAAACATACTGTATGAGGGATTGGGAGTGGCGTTCGGCGAATCGTCAATCACTATAACCTCTTTTGGAAGACCATTTCTATAAAAATCTTCTCTCCAATTAGCTCTTTTCTGTTTTTTCCTTGGCTCGGCAATTGGTCGGCTAACAGCCGTAGTGACCATTGCTAGAGATGCCATATATATGTATATTTTTTTTGGTTCGTGTGTTTATTATTGTAGAAGGATTACAAACCGTCGAGAATAATTTGTTGTGGCTTAAAGGTTATTTTGAAGGATGAATGAAAATTATAATATAATAAGATATATTATTTTAAAATCTAAATAATGAAAAGGGGAGAAAAAAAGACCACTAATAATAGGATAATGGAAAGAATGATGGGTCCCTGGTGGGGAGTTTTAAATCCTTGTCTATTATGACGAAACTTTGTGCGACGGGACCTCGCCGAATTCACCATAAAGATTGTCTATCCGCCAATTAAATGTTCTTCTTGTTACTCTATTATCCTTTGATCGAGCATTTACGTTTATGCAACAGGTTTGATAATTAAATTTTTTTCCTATTTCCACTTGTAGAAATTGCGTGATGACATACAAAGAAACCTTTTTTTTCTCTTCTTGACCTAATCTTTTTTTAATCTTGTAACAATATTTGAGGAAAATTATCTTCTACTATATCGATATCTAACAGCTATCATATAGAAATTAGAAACTTTTCGTGTGAATTTCGCATTTTCCAGTTGCCGAGCCACTTCGTTACACACTATTATCAATCAAAAGACCAAAGACACAAAGAAAAATATTTTCACACAAGACAAAGATATAAAATAAAAAACTAGTGCACTTGTAAAGTCCAGAACAAACATTGTTGCATCTTAAAATTCCGCAAATGGGAAATTTCCCAACATTTTCACAAAGAAAAGTAATTCATTTTTCTTCGCACGGGAAAATTCAATAGTACAATTGTCCTGTTTGAAATTTATATGTACTGATCCATTTAAGCAATTTTAACAATTATTTGCAACTTGGATTATGCTCAATATGCACATGATGTCAAAGTAATTGCTGCTAATATATTCATTACTTTTCAACTATGTTATGAATTTATTTCCAATTGGAATAACAAACAAGTTCTTGGAAAAAATGAACTTTCCATTTAAACAACAGTGTGTTATAAAAAAATGATATTGTTATATAACAAAATTTTAATATTATTTGATTGAACAATTTATATTATAATTTTAATGAATAATTATATTATGAAATTTTATTAAATTATTTATTTAATTGAAAAATATACAAACTTGTGAATGAATTTGCAATTCATTTAGTATTTTTATTGATAATTTAATATTTATAATTTATTTAATATTTTTTAATAATTCATTTTTTGTTTAGAAATATTATTTAATATTAGTTTTTATTTTGTTTTGAATTTATATAATACTTTATAAAAAAATATTTGATTTTCAGTTTTAGAAAATTACAAATTTAGTTATAAAATTTATATATTAAAATCTAATAAAAATTACAATTAAAAATAAAAAAATAAAAAATACAATATTTTGTAATTCACAATTTTAATTCAAACAAAAAATATATTATTTAATTTATTTAGTTTTGAGATATTATATTGTTAATATTTTATAATATGAATTAATCTCTTTATAGTTACCATTCTTGAACAAGCAAAATTTGGTGACTATAGAGAGGATGTAATTATAAAGAAATTTTTTTACTATATTTATATGTAAATAAAAAAGCAAAATAAAGTGATTATAGAGAAATATAACTATAAATAAATGTGACTATAGAGATGTTTGACTGTATTTATATCTTCCATTTTTAATATATATATCCTTCCATATAATAAACTTCCAAAATTTTTTATATCATATAAATATATAATACAGAAATTTATTATATTCTATTAATTTATTATTTGTATTCTATTAATCTTAAAGACTACAAACAGAAAATATTAATGTAAACTAAATATTATATATTATTATCAGTTTGTGATTTTTTGTAAATAAAAATATTTACAAGATAGATAATAGTGATTGTGTTTTATACAAAAGTATAAAATAAAGATTTTTCTAATATACAAGTTCCAATATCAAGTAATAAAGATTGTATTTATAATTTTCACAAGTGAAGCTTTTTAACAAGTATTAATAATAATTCAACACATAATGGATTATTATAATAAAAGAGATAAAAAAAATCAATAAGAACTAATTAATTAGAATAATCAGCAATCTAATTTATTCTTTATTATTATCAAAATCAAAGATAAATTACAGGATGTTTGATTTTCTATATTAGATTACATTTATTTAAATATATATTAAAGTAATATAGATTTACAAGATTTGTAATGATATAAAGAATTAATAAAATAATAAAGTTATAATATATATAATATCAAGAAATGATAAATATAATACAAATTAATCTAAGTATTACAAATAAAATTAGTGAAATATTGATGTTATATTAAATAAATTAGATAAATTAATAATTAAAAATAAATTAATAATCAAAATTAAATAGATTAATAATTATAAATCAAGAATCAATAAATTATAATAACTAATAACTAAAAATTGTATAATAAATAAATAAAGTGATTGGTAATTTATAATATCACTAGATACAAATAAAAGATAATTAAAAATAAATAGATAAATGGATAAATAAATATTTATAAACAGAAATTAATTAAATATCTGATAATATCTCATATTAGGTGATCAAGGAAAATAATGAATAGTGATAGTATTCTTTGATTAGAGATTTTGATTTATAAAGCTATATATAATCTTTTAAATTTTTTTATAATTTCATAGATAATATTTCTATTATTTCATTATTTTCTATTATCTATAATAATTACAGATTATAAATATGTTTGTTCTTTATAAATCTTCAAATAATCTTCACTATATGAATTTTTGAAAACTTTTTCATCCAAGATTCTTAATTTATAAACACTTTTATTATAGACATCATGAATATAGTAAAGATTTTTCTATTTTTTACCAAATTTATTATAATACTAATATTGAATTTCTATTTAGTAAAATAAGACTTTTTGTTCAATTTGAAACTGTTGAATAATTTTATTTTTGATCATAATAATTTTGTTATTATTTTTCAATATTTTGAATTGCTTTTTTTCAGTTAGAATTCAATTAATTAATTATTTTATATACTTATTTTATAACTACTATTTTTTTATTTAATTAATTATTGTCTATTTGTATTTTCAAGTTAAAGGATGTTGAGAAAAATTTTTTATATGTTAAATAAAATAGTTCATAATGAGTTATATTTTGACGTATTATTCTGTAAGCAAAAAGTAAATATAGTAAATATTCATCCCAGTCTTATTAATAGAGTTAAACATATTTTGACAAAATTCTATATATGATTTGATTTATTTGTTTTATTAAGCCATTCATCCATTTATGAATAATATAATATTGTCATGTGATATTTAATTTGATTTGCTTTATTAAATACTTGTATAATTTTATTTATAAAAGTAGTATTATGATTACTAATTAATTCTTTTGAAAAGTCATATCAAATTATAATGTCTTCAGTTAGAAAAGATATAATTGATACTGCTATTATATCTTTTATAGCTCTAGCTTCAATTCATTTAATAGTATAATTAATTGCTATAACAATATAATAATTTTCTTTTGTTATTATTATTAAAAATTTAGCTAGATCAATACCAATCTTTTCAAAAGATTTTTTAACTTTGATTAGTGTTAACATATTATTTTTCTTCATCTTTTCTTTCTATTAATATATATTGCATAATTTGATATATTATTCAATATTTTTTCATATTTGAAACCAAAAGTATTGCTTGTTGATTTTGTAAAAAGTATTTTCTATGCCTAAATATCTGATATATAAATCTGAATGTTTATTTTTTAAAATATTTTCAATTTCATTGAGCTTAATTTTTCAAAATGATTGTTCTTTATTATTTTTGTTCTTTTTGTATTATTATATAATAAAATTTGATCAAATATTTTACTGAATTATTTATACTTAATATTATTGGATTATAAATAGCTTATATTTTATTAAAAAAATCTAATCACATGAGACAAGCAAATGAACAAGTGAGTGAATGAACAAATAAGTAAACAAATAAGTAAACAAGCAAATAAATAAGTGAATATTGAATTAATAGAATTTAAGTAATTTAACAAACATGAATTCATATAACTAATAAATTATATTTTGAATTTGTATAAAAGCAACATGTATTGTAACTATTAAAATTAGATTAGAACAAGTTCTTCAATAATAATATTTTTAATTATCACCTTATAGCTAGTTATTATATAGTTTTAATTATTTATACAAGTAAAGTTTGCACTTATGTAAAATAAGTAGTCAAGTGCAAACTCCTCTCTATATCTCTTTGACAAAGTATTCTTGTTTCTTGTATAATCACTTCAGTATTATTACTATAAGTATTATATAGATCTTGAATTAATATTATAATAGCTTAAGCAAGATTGTCAGGAGCACTATAAAAACTATTATCTTAATACTAGATTATCTGAATATATTTGTGATGAAACTTATATTAAATAAAAAAATTTTATAAATCTATTTTTGAGATTATATTTGCTGATAATATATTACTCATAAACTCATCTTCAATTTTGTATTACTAATAATATATTATTCACCTTCAATTTCATATTGCTAATAATATGAATATTATAATCTTTATAACTTTAACTTTGAAATTTTGAAAACTCTTTTTAGCAGTTCAGATTATTGCGTTAAAGAACACAATTATTATCAATCTTTAAGTAGTTTTGTTACTAGTACTTTTAGTATTTATTTACATTTAATCTAATAGTTATAAAGTATTATTAATATTTGAAATTGTCATTAAGATATTAAAAGTTCTCTTTGAATATTTCTTTAAATTTTATAAATATCTTTAAATATTTTAAAAGTCAATCAAAACAGTAACAGTATAGAATATTATTTTAATGAGATACTTTCTAAAATTTGCTATTATCGTTAAATTGCTTTGTAAGATATCCTTCTGATAGTAGATCTTCCTTGATTTAGATCCAGTATATTATCAGAATATTAAGTATATGATTAGTATAAGA